CGATCTACCTCATCCCAGTGTATATCGAAAAGAACAAGAAGTCACAATTAAACCCGTGTTAATTCAAAGCTAGCTTTCGATGTAATCTACGCCAAACCACTTATTCTAATCCTCGTACATTGTCACTCGGATTGTCACAATGTTTCGTTAAATAGACATATTGGGGCTGCTTGTATGGTCCTCACATTGCATGGTGTGATGCCCGACCATTCGTTATCCGTTTGGATCATTTAAAATAATTAAGATTTGAATCAAATTAATTTGATCTTCATTTAAATGACTTCTTCTGATAACGAAAAGATGAATACTCATTATATTAAACAGGAAATATAGTCTTTTTCGTTTTCAAATACACATGAGCCAATAATATCGATAAAATAAAGAAAAATCAAATGAAAAGATACACAGCTATATGCTACCCATAAACATATAAAGGCTGTGTAAATATACCAAGAGATTTGGAAATACAACACATTTAGCCGATGGCATATTGTGGTAAGGTATAAAGTGGGATAAGATTTTAAAATTGCTAAGTGGAACAGGATTGTCATCCTTGATCAATAGAATCCTAGAAAAGAGAGGCTCTCAACAAAACGTTCCTTTCAGAAGCTACAGGTTCGATGACACCCCAAATGCTTTCTTGTTCTGAACCCCTTGTTTCCAAGCATTCTGTTTAATTCAGATCATGTTTCTACTAACTGCTCTCCGAAGCTCCCGTTGCCTTATCTTATCCATTTCCACCTTCACGGACAGTAAAGTCAATGACCTACTTTTTTTAAACAAGGAGAGGTTTGAGAAAAAATTGAGAAAAAAGTAAGTAACTGGATGTGGAGGAGATGTGCTATTTGATTACAATGTTTAAAAACAGCGAATACGACCAAATATATTGGAGAATATCTATTTTCTGCATGATCGACGACACAATTCCAGGTCAACACCAGAAAAATTCTCTAAACGATACTAAGTAAACTACTAATGATATGGTACACAACGCGATCGCTTGATCGATGGTCAAGGTCTTTGCTGGACACTGTGATAACGTATTGTGGACTTGACTGGTTTCCTGTTACAGGTAGCTGTGATTTTAATATCAAATGAAAAAAACCTCATGAAGTTCAGCATAATAACCAATTTATAGTAAATGACTGAGATATCCTATCAAGTGAGGAATTTCTTTAAAAATGTATTTTAAATTTGCCTGAATACTTAACATGACATATTAGATGGAGATTTATGATAGTTTTAGTATATCCAATAAATATGATTTGTAAGTGACACTGAATACTATTTCATTCTTTACCTGCCATTAGAGATAAGAGAGCCACACACAGGATAACCTTCATCGTGCTGGTCGTGTTAAGAAACTGTGTACAATAGACACCTGTTAATGTTATCTGTCTTTACACTAAGGATGGTGCTAAACGACTTTAAATCGACACCTTGTTTTTATCTGTTTACTCAACGCCTGGTATAGACGAATAGAAACAAGTCGTTTACTTTTTCAGTGAATGGACAAGACGTCTGAGTCGGAGTAACTGATATACTTAATTTCTCGATTAATGAAAGTAAAACCCTGTTTCATTAAACCACGATCACTACTTCTGTCCTTAAAAATACTCCATTTACTATAATCATTAATAATACATATATGTTTAATTGTGATTTGTTTTATTTATTCATTCGTTTATTTATTGATAAAATATTATGTTGTAAATTGTTCATATGACCTTCCGCATTTCGTTTAAGGTACATGTACAATTAAGTAAGTTTACAAGTTAAAATCGGCCTTGTATTATTTTTGGAACAACCTATCTTTGTAAGAGAAGCTTGCAATATTTTCAATTTCGAAACCATGACGAAACGGCTATTTATAATTCACGTGTGCATAGTAGGAAATGTTAACGTTACTAGATGGTATATAAAGCGGGTTGACATGTTTGTGGATACGCTGTACATAGACAGACTGACAGACACCCAGACAGACGGACATACAGATAGACAGACTACAACTTCAGGGATTCGCAGGCGTATCTGTTATCTTTATGTTATATATTGTATATAATATTCCAGCAATAAACAAATTGTATACAAAACATGTACCAACGATATAATATAGATAGTACTATCGCTTGCCTGTTATGATCTAGACGTACTCTTGCCTGTTATGATCTAGACGTACGCTTGCCTGTTATGATCTAGACGTACTCTTGCCTGTTATGATCTAGACGTATGCTTGCCTGTTATGATCTAGACGTACTCTTGCCTGTTAGAATCTAGACGTACGCTGGCTTGTTATGATCTAGACGTACTCTTGCCTGTTATGATCTAGACGTACTGTTGCCTGTTATGATCTAGACGTACGCTTGCCAACTATGATCCAGATGTACGCTTGCCTGTTATGATCTAGACGTACGCTTGCCTGTTATGATCTAGACGTACGCTTGTCTGTTATAATCTAGACGTACGCTTGCCTGTTATGATCTAGACGTACTCTTGCCTGTTATGATCTAGACGTACGATTGCCTGTTATGATCTAGACGTAAGCTTGCTTGTTATGATCTAAACGTACGCTTGTCAGCTATAATCCAGGCGTACGCTTGCCAGCTCTAAACAGACTTACTGTTGCCTGTTATGATCTAGACGTACTGTTGCCTGTTATGATCTAGACGTAATGTTGCCTGTTATGATCTAGACGTACTGTTGCCTGTTATGATCTAGACGTACGCTTTCTTGTTATGATCTAGACGTACGCTTGCTTGTTATGATCTAGACGTACGCTTGTCAGCTATAATCCAGGCGTACGCTTGCCAGCTCTAAACAAACGTACTGTTGCCTGTTATGATCTAGACGTACTGTTGCCTGTTATGATCTAGATGTACGTTTGCCTGTTATAATCTAGACGTACTCTTGCCTGTTATGATCTAGACGTACTGGTGCCTGTTATGATCTAGACGTTCGCTTGCTTGTTATGATCTAGACGTACGCTGGCTTGTTATGATCTAGACGTACGCTTGCTTGTTATGATCTAGACGTACGCTTGTCAGCTATAATCCAGGCGTACGCTTGCCAGCTATAAACAGACGTACTGTTGCCTGTTATGATCTAGACGTACGCTTGCCTACTTTGATCCAGATGTACGCTTGCCCGTTATGATCTAGACGTACTGTTGCCTGTTATGATCTAGACGTACGCTTGCCTGTTATGATCTTTCATTTATTTTATTGACTTTTGGCCTTCCGGCCCATCAGTACAATGCATATACATACAAATCATGAATATTGGCACGACACACAGTGCTACAGTGGAGAAAGAGTAGTATATACTTAACAAAAAAAGAAAGGTTAACACGTTTCCTTGGCGAATACCTGTAAATGAGTGAAAACAAAATGACGTTTGTGCAATATTAGAAAATGGTAATGTTTTACATTACAAAATCCAAGGGGGTTACCAAAATCATTCAAGCGTGAAAGTCTGTATTAGCGAAAGAGCTGTACGAGGTTTTTTTGCGACTAACTTGTATCTTCGCTTGAATTTCATAAACATTCAAACTGACAACTGTTCCTTAGGACTTAAAAATCACCGAATCTTGCTATCTATCAACTTTATCATTATGCCCCGGCTGTCACAAGTACAGAGAGAAAGGGCTGTAGGCATGATCCTGGCTGGGGAGTCTCGCCGTCGAGTTGCACGGCATTTTGGTTGCAGTGTTAAGACAATTTGCCAGTTGGTAAGTCGTTTAAACCAAACTGGGTCAACATCCGATCGTCCTCGAAGCGGCCGACCCCGTAAAACGGCTGCCAGGGATGACCGTCGTATACGATTGATACACTTGCGCAATCGATTCGTAACCGCAGTAGAGACTACAAGGACATTGTTTGGGCGTCGTGTGTCTCCCAAAACAGTCCGCAACAGGTTGAGGACCTACCAATTGAAAGTGCGGTGTCCCTACACTGGACCCAATTTGTTGCGACGTCACCGTAATAATCGGCGTAACTGGACCCATGTTCACCGTCGTTGGGCCTTACGACAATGGAACAATGTTCTGTTTTCAGATGAGTCCAGGTTTTGTTTGCAACACGGTGACGAAAGGCGCAGAGTGTGGAAGCGACGAGGGGAGCGTTTTGCGAACTGCTGCGTCGCAGAACGGGACCGCTTTGGCGGCGGAAGTGTAATGGTTTTGGATGGTATTTATGGGGGGACTCGTACCAGGCTTGTTGTGTTAAATGGCAATTCAACCGGCATTCGATATCGGGACGAAATTTAAAGACCAGTGGTTCTGCCATTCTTAAGACGCCATGGCGTTGGCGCCATTTTTCAAAAGGACAACGCACCAGCGCACACCTGTCGCGTCAGCAGAACTTTCTTGCAGCAGAATAACGTACAGGTGTTAGATTGGCCATCTAAATCACCTGATTTATCACCGATTGAGCATGTCTGGGACGTTCTTGGGCGACGCGTGAGAGAACGTCAAAATCAGCCGTCAAACTTGCAGAAGCTGGCCCAAGCCTTGATCGCTGAATGGAACAACATCTCTCATGCGACGACGCTGCAATGATTTTTACTTTGCAAACGGTGGCCATACCCGTTACTAATGGTGTTACCTTTGAAATTGACCCCAACGTCCTTTACAGTCGAATAAAATCAACTGAACTCAAAGTTTTATAATGAACCATGACTGCAGTTTTATCAGAATTGATCAATTACTTTATTCGTACATGATTGGTAAGGATTTATGAAGGGGTTAATTAATTAATCACAGAATAAAGTAGTGTTACCTTTCTTTTTTTTGTTTAGTATATTATTAATATGAAAGATGAAAACATAGATTTCTTAACTTGTTAGCTTCAACAATGTATTAACCAAGCTGGCACAGTTCTTTTGTATTCCTAGTACTTAATAATTGTAAAATCTTAAACATTGATGGTCTTTTTCAATAATATTTCTTTATATATAGTGTTCTTAAATTTTGATATGACTGACATTTTAAAACAAAATGATACTCATCTTCAACTTCTTTATTTGAATTACATGATATACAATATCCCTGGGATCGAGCAATATTTCGGTATCTGCTTGTCTCGATCGCTAAGGAATGTGCAGACAGACGTAATTTTGTTAAATTTATTCTTAATTTCTTAGGAATATATCTTGTTAAGTAAAACTGTATGGATAAATTGTCTACCAGGTGTTTATAAAGGAAACATTTGGATGAAGCTTCTAGCAGGCCTCTTAAGTGTTGTTGGCCTTGATAAATAATTCTTTGACGAATAAGAGGTAAAATGAAATTAATATTGAATGGAGATTGGGCTAACCAAACATCACCAAAACCTAAGGAAAACAATTCATCTTTTAAATAATGTAACCAATTAAAACAGGTACCTGTGGTTATATCTCGTAAAAATTCATATGCACAATTCAAAATACAATTTTTGATATCAAGCAACTTAAACCAATACTCGATAATTCTATATTTTCTCATGTACTCTAATGACAGACGCTCAAGTTCACAATAAACCATGACATTGCATGCTTTTTATTTTACTTTAAAAACTTTCTTACAAAAACTTAAGTGAATTTTCTCTATATCTAGTGCCTTTATGGATCCCCATACTTCACATGCATAGAACAATATACTACTTATATATGTGTCAAACAAACTTAACAAAGTTGTACAGTTAAGATTTAGAGTAGAACATTTCGACAACAAAGCAAACATTGCTTTAAGACCTTGCTCAGATAAATGTTTCTGAATAATATTAAACTTATTATTGTATTTGAATAACACACCCAGGTACGAGAACTGATCGACACAATCAACTGGATTACATTTATATGACCAAACTTCATTGTTGCGAATTTTCCCACTTTTTCGAAAAACAACAATTTTTGTCTTAGCTATATTAACAGATAGCTTCCATTGCTCAGTATAGCTAGCAAGATTGTCTAGTAGTTCCTGTAAACCCTCAACAGTCTTAGAGAACAGAACTTAATCATCTGCATATAACATAAGAAAAAGACTTAATTCACCAAAGTTATATTGGTTACTACAATTTGAGATAAAATAAGATTCAAAATCATTTACATACATAGAAAATAGAATTGGGGACAAAATTTCCCCTTGCATCAAACCGATGTCATTAGCAAAAAAGTCTGATATGCGGCCATTAAATTTCAAACAAGACCTCACATTTTTATATATTGACTTAATGACACACATAAATTTACCCTTTATTACTAACTTAGATAGTTTATAACATAAATTTATCCAGTCAACACAGTCGAATGCCTTCCTCAAATCTACAAAACAGCAGTGAAGGCGTTTATTTTCACTGAAAGACTTTGTTATTATAGAATGTAAGGCAAATACAGCATCAACTGTGCTAAGCCCTGGACGAAAACCAAAGTGCGCATCAGTAATAATTTCACAAGATTCTGACCATTTAACCAACCTAATACTCAATATAGATGTAAATAACTTTCCAAGGCAACCTAATAAACTAATCCCTCTGAAATTATTAGGGTCAGCCTTGACACCTTTCTTATGTACAGGAGTAATCACTGCCTGCGACCATTCTGTTGGAAAAAATCCCGAATTCAGAATTGTATTAAATAATACATGAAAAGGTGGTAGCAGTATATCTTTACCCACCAGGAGACATTCATTTAAAATCCCATCTAGGCCATGAGACTTTCCACACTTCAGTTTACAAATAGCTGCAGAAATTTCATTCAATGTAATTGGACAATCTAACTCATCATAATTTGGAATAGAGTCATCATTAATATTATTAACATCTACACCACTGCCTCTGAAGTGTTAACAGCCTCTGATGACAAATTTTTAAAATGCAAATATAAATTATCCATACTAATCTGAGGTCCAGCTTAGGTGAAGCAAATTTCTTATAAAAAATGCTTGGGATTATATTTTCTAAGATACTCCAACATATTCCCTTCATATATCAAATACATTCTTTTCTTATTGTTCTCTAGAAATTTATAAATCTTTTTCTTAGCAATCAAATTAGTATGATTCTCATTTGATTTACAACTATTGAATACATTCAAAACATTTTTATACTTATGCAAAACATTTTTTAATTCAGGGTCAAACGATAGTTTGTCTTCCTGCAATAGTGTGCCTACGACACGCCTTCCTTGTTTATTTATATTGTCACGCCCTACTGCACCTACACGATCACACGCCACACGTGTGTTACCTGTAACAAGAAAAGGGTGCATGGCTTGTGTTCGGATTTCTGTAAATTTATTCACATTCGTCTATGCTATTCTCAGTAATCTCATTAGGGGAACAAACAGATTTATCAATATCCTTACGATGTGCTACAAGTTCCGATAAAAATTGCTCCATACCATCCTCTTTCACTCGGTAGGGAGACTGCTCACTACCTGAATCGGTATTCATGTGTGCCCTGTTTGCATCAAAATCACTCGATACAGGTAACCGAGTAAACAGTTGCACGTGTAAGGGGGTGTGGTCAGATAATACATTGAAATTTCCAACAATAAACTGGCAAACTAATGAAAATAAAGATGGATTCAAAATCAAATAGTCAATAACACTCATTCCATTATGACCGCAGTATGTGAAGTCATTGAAGAAATTATTTGTATCTCTTCCATTGAAAATACGTAAACAACAAGCTTTACATAAATCAATAAGACGGTTACTTAGACGTACGCTTGCCTACTGTGATCCAGACGTACGCTTTGTTGTTTTAATATACTTTATTTGTAGAGCTCTAGAGTCAGGTTTACATCTTCAGAGATCAGCTGGTATATACCACGTGTTTAAACTCTGTATATCTAACGTTGTGGCTGTTTCTGAAATTAATCACGTTTCTTGTTTACGAACACTGCGTAGTAGCATATTACTACGATTCTGTCACTGATGCATGTATGTTATTATATTTATGACACAAAAGAGCCGTTTTGTGATGTATTTATGGTGTATATGACCATAGGTATTTGTATTTACATGTACCTGTTTTTTGATCAGATGTAGTTATATATGGTGCAGCGATATAATACTCATGAAATTATGACAATATTTATTTGTTTTTTAATCGCATTATGCAAATATTGGATCAAATTGAGAGACAACTGTCTTCTTTAACATAGCAGTAGAATGACGTCAGCAGATCAAAATGGGAAATACTGCACGAGTTCCTGAAAAATATGATTAACGCCATCTTAATATATGTCATAGTTAAAAGACACATTTAAGCATTGAACTGCTTTCGATTGGCTAGCGCGCTTCATTAAATTTGCCTTTGTCCAGTTGGCATTCATAACCCATGAATGCCAATTGAAAGCAGTTCAATGCTTATATTTATCACTTGTGATTTATGATCCAGTTTCACTTAATTAATAAAAAAATCAAAAATTTCCGCCGTAATTGTTTAGAGACCTGTTAGCAGACTTACCGTATGCTTCCGCTTAAAAATTAAAAGAACACACACCAGAATATTCAATGTACTAACAAAGTTTAATACGGATAACGGAGAATACATATTTCAATGTTTGATTCATAAACATTAAAAACTTAGGCAAACGTAATCTCGTACTCAAACTGTGCAAGGGGAGGTAACATCAATTCGTTTCCATTACTGTTAAAGTTGGCAGTATGAAGTGATATTGCGCAACAACAGCAGTTAAGTTTATATAGTTGAAATACCATGGAGTGGAACATATATACATATCTACTGGTTATCATTCATATTGAAACAAAATCTTATAAAAATAAATGCATATATACATATGGAGAGAGTAATACTAACTTCAGTAGTAGAAGTATGGAGAGAGTAATACTGACTTCAGTAGAAGAAGTAAGGAGAGAGTAATACTGACTTCAGTAGTAGAAGTATTGAGAGAGTAATACTGACTTCAGTAGTAGAAGTAAGGAGAGAGTAATACTGACTTCAGTAGTAGAAGTATGGAGAGAGTAATACTGACTTCAGTAGAAGAAGTAAGGAGAGAGTAATACTGACTTCAGTAGTAGAAGTATTGAGAGAGTAATACTGACTTCAGTAGTAGAAGTATTGAGAGAGTAATACTGACTTCAGTAGTAGAAGTATTGAGAGAGTAATACTGACTTCAGTAGTAGAAGTATTGAGAGAGTAATACTGAGTTCAGTAGTAGAAGTATTGAGAGAGTAATACTGACTTCAGTAGTAGAAGTATTGAGAGAGTAATACTGACTTCAGTAGTAGAAGTATTGAGAGAGTAATACTAACTTCAGTAGTAGAAGTATTGGGAGAGTAATACTGACTTCAGTAGTAGAAGTATTGAGAGAGTAATACTGACTTCAGTAGTAGAAGTATTGAGAGAGTAATAATGACTTCAGTAGTAGAAGTATTGAGAGAGTAATACTAACTTCAGTAGTAGAAGTATAACAAAGGTAATGCGATTCGACAGTTTTTTTTACTGATACAGATTTGAATGTTTACAATGTACATTCTGGCATTGTGATAACATTTGCGCACACAATATGGATTAGAATTTCTAATATTGAAAATTCTTACCTTATCGTTTGGAAATACAAGCCGAAGAATAGTACGGAAGGAACGATTGGAGTCTGAAATCTCCTGGAAGTCTACTCCAACTCCTGAAATAAAACATTGAATTGATTGTCAACAAAAACCAAACTTTGTTTACAAATATTTGTATCGTTAGTATGATTTGACAAATAAGAATTCATATTTTATATGTCAGAAGTCGTTATCCAGTTGAGAGAGATTCCATCAAACTGTGTACCCAAACTTGGTACATTTGTCCTTATTATAATCCATCATTAAAATTATTATCTTTTGTTTGAATTTTGATAAATGGAAGTCACAATGTGTACAATTGACCAGACGAAAAAGACACCGTAAAGTGTCGTGTTTACTAAGGAAATTGATATATATATATATAGTGATGCGGAGGGCCTTAATTGTTGAAACTAGAGAGCTACATCTCCCAGAGTGCATTTTCGTTCACTAAATAACATTGCATTTGACTGGTAGAGATTGACCGCAGAGTTAACTGAGAAAAATCAAAGTGGTTTTGAAACTATATAAGCAGGTATACTAACCCAAAAATCTCATAAATTGTTTTATATCAAATCACACGTAATGAAAAAGAACGCACAGTACATTTGTCTTATCTGAACAAGGAAACTAAAGTTCACAAGTGGTGTCTACCATTGTTTAACAGACAGACAAGCGAATCAAATATACGTCTAATGATAACATTAGGGACCAAGGATATTTTTGTTTTGTTTTTTGGCCTACCTGATACCATTCCGTTGCCAGCAGTGTAATACGTCCCGTTGTGATTAATAGTGATTCTATCATATACCATAATATCTATGATGATGTCGCGGTCCAACGGCATGCACAGTGGACTCATCACTCCATCACCATATCTTACATGGGCCAGATCTCCATAATAGATGTTGATGTTGGCGGGAATCTTAACGTAGTTACGCACTCTACCATGGTTCTGTGCTGAAACTAGATGAAAATGATAATAATAAAACAAAACAAAACAAACAAGCCAAAAAAACCCGCTTCAGCGACTTGTTCTTGTTTAAGTGTCATGAATACACACATGACGATAATTGGTCCTCATGCACTAAATTCACTTTAACAAATGATTTAGAAGTTTCAGGGGAGTTAAATTGGTGATCGTTGTTTACCTACAGAAATACACATTTAGGGAGACTTTCACGATTGCCAGTTGTCAGTATTTCTTTAAAAAGAATTTCTTGTAATTATTCAAATATTGATAATCTAATCTATCTTCAAAGTCGTACCAAAATATTGCATACATTAAAAGTTATTTCACCACATATTTTTTACCTCTAACTTTTAAATGCTTGTTAAACTCATGCCTTTCAGTCGCTTAACCGGTTCTCTACAAAACTTACCAACGCTAATCCCTGTTAGAACGAGGAGCAGTTCTATGTGTACATACATGTTGCCGGATGGATGCAAAATGTCAACATGTGTCGTCCAAATGATAAAAATAATATGTAAATTGCTCTTGCCGTTCCCGGGGCAATTTGATGATTAATTACGTTATCATTTGACACAAACTGCCTAGTAAAGAGAGTATTAGCAATCGTGTACTTTTGTTCCAAACATGAACATTTGCTGCAATTGAAAAAAATGAACAGATTGCTATCTTATATTGGCAACGTCACTCCTTATTGTAAACAATACTATACATATAGAACACAATCTTAATTTAAATTTGATAAAACTGAAGAGTGATGAAAAAGTAAAAGTAAATCATGAGAGAAATACGTAAATCAATGATAATCGCTATATTATAATATGACTAACGAGCTGTTCTTAAAATTCTACCTAAGTAAGTATGGAGACAACTGTTGTTACAGAAGTAGCTGTATTCAAGTTGGTATCAGAGTTTTATCTGTGAAAAGTTGTTTCATAAATTTGCAATACATCGCGGAAAATGTCACGTAAAATTGATAAAATTTCAACGTTGCGGCGGTCGAGCATTCCTGACTAAATTGTATGGAAATCGACTGTGCAGTATTCAATACTTAATTAAACAAAAAAAGTCTGCTATGAGGTATTAACGAATGTAAATAGGTAGATGCTTAAATAAAAAAAAATGGAATATCCAATGCTCTTAATATCCATTACAATATCCCCTTTCTTATAACCCTTTCATGATAGAACTAGTTTTATTCTATTTTCTAAAACAGAGAGACCAGAGGACCGCACTTCTCCCACAAAATGGAAAAGATATCGCTATTCAGATTCTAAATACCATCCACGATGAATTACAGAAAATGTATTATCACTTTTTTTTCGCTGCACATGGACAACAAATCAGAGTGATGAACAGTTATGGCAATGGGTTAATGGTAGTCATCACATATTCAACTTTTGTATTGAATGAAGGGCATAATGTACACTGATATTATGAAATAATATCAATTTGAAAGTGAACACAGTAGTTGTGTTAATCTATCACTGTGATAGTGTATATAATGCGACCTCACTATTTAGACTATTTAGTATAACCACTTGGACTTCTCTTCAGTATAGTGTTCATATATTTATATTTGTAATTCTGTTCAACTTTCTTGGAAATAATAACTCTCCTAACAAGATTAAGAAGGCGGTCTTTCAGTTTAGTATGGGATATGGTGTACATTGTTGAAAAAATCAAATGTTCTTATAATAGAAATGTTTTTTTAGAAGAGGGCGTTGGAGATTTGTCAAACATTCTTTGGAGTTATTTAAAATTCACATTATGTTAATTCCACTTCTCAAGTATCACAATAAGATTGTAATCTAGATTTGATAGTGCTAAGAATAGTGGTAAGCTGCTTTGACAAAGGTTTGGTCGAACAACTAGACGAGCCAGCAATAAAACGTTGGATATGGCTTCTTGTGAAGTTTAGGAATCCCATATAAACAGGGGTGGTCCGGATCCTTATCATTAATAGGAAATTTAAATTTTTGTTATACTGACTCATGATTGGCTAATATTTCTTCTTTAGAGATAATACATTACGTATAATATTCTTCGTTATCAAGCAAGCCTGGTTCTTTTTGTATACAATAATGTGCACGTAATGATGTCTGCAAACAAGAATCAAGTGACTGGACGCTGAACCTGCAGGTACAATAACATACCTGTCATGTTAATCTTGAAGTCTGGATTAAACACAGGATCGAGGAAAGCTGACCAGTGTTTCGTTTTCGCTATTGTTTTCTTTTAAGAATGCTGGTTCGTATGGATTTAACCCACACAGAAAGACAATCCAACGCAGCATGTTCTTGTTTCACCCATTCTGTGGCAAAGTTTTCAACAGTATTCATAAAAGTCTTGAAATACATATCCAAATCAACGGATTGGCTTTCTCGATATTTAGGACCCTCCATGAAAAACCATTGTGGATTAACATTTTGAAAACGCTTAAATCACCAGTTACTATGTGTCCAGTAAGACCATACTTATAAGTGGAAGCAGAACAAGAATAAGCTGGCGGAGGAGTAGTTACAATTGTCTTGGTGTAATTGTAGGGGTATTTCTGCTTTGAAAGTATAGTAGAATGTTCGCACGAACAGATGTGTGGTTTGAAATATTACTGATGCTGATAGCATCCACTCCCCTATTTGCTATCTCAAAGTTCATAAATTGGCGAGTTGTCGGATGATCCCGGCTATCTGTACAGACAGGTTTAATTATCTTTAGACGTAGGTTTGATATGTAAGCTGAAATTTGATAAATTTGTCCTTAGTCAGTAGGGTGATAAGTAAACTGTTATTTCATACTTTTATCCATAGTCAATGGTATAATTATAAAGTTGAAATTTCATGACTTTATCCATAGGTGGTGGTTGAATAAGTAACCTGAAATTTGGTATTTCTTTCCTTGGTCTTGGGCATGATAGAAAACTGAATGTTTATAACTTTATCCTTAGTTTGAGGTTGAATAAGTAAGTCGAAATTTGGTGGTTTGATAGGAAATGTGGAAATCAGTGGTGTGTGGTCTTTTAGACTACATCACCTTTGTCCTTAGTCAGTGGCTTGATAAATAAGCTGAAATTTGATAACTTTGTCCTTAGTCTGAAGCTTGATAAATAAGCTGAAATTTGATAACTTTGTCCTTAGTCTGAAGCTTGATAAATAAGCTGAAATTTGATAACTTTGTCCTTAGTCTGTGGCTTGATAGATAAGCTGAAATTTGATAACTTTGTCCTTAGTCTGTGGCTTGATAAATAAGCAGAAATTTGATCACTTTTTCTTAGTTTGTGGTTTGATAAATAAGCTGAAATTTGATTACTTTGTCTTTAGTCTGTAGCTTAATAAATAAGGAGAAATTTGATAACATTGTCCTTAGTCTGTGGCTTGATAAATAAGCTGAAATTTGATAACTTTGTCCTTAGTTGGTAGTTTAATAAGTAAGCAGAAAATCAGTGTTGCGTGGTCATTTGGATTATATTACCTTGTGCTCAACAAATTTGTTTTAGACTGAAATGAAACATCTCGAATCTATAGCGAAGTTTAACACTAACTATATATCTGTGTTGTCTTGCTAACATGGTAACCTGCTGATAAGATGTATTTGCTATTTTGTATCTGATCCGTTTGTAAAATATGTCAGTTACAACAAAGAGGATATTATGAGAGTAATTGTTTTATTCGAAAATACATACAAAATATGACGAAGTCGTTTGAAAGACACGATCAACTTATGACGCAGTTTTGATGCTGCTTCGGAGGTGATTTACAAAATCCTGAAAAAAAGTTTTTTGTTTTAAACTCAGATGGTATTTGTGAACTGATCGCACATGTATTCTTAATGTCAACATTCTTTTGTCTCCAATTCTTAAAGACTAGATCTTATTCTGCCGATTATTGACTAGTACATGTGTCACGTGATAATGGTATATATATAAATCCAAATGATATATTTGGCTATATTCTGCAAATTTATGAGATTTTGTTAAGATAAAAGCTTAATTGATAAGGAATACAATAACTGGGTTTTACACTAGTGTTGTTGTGAAACTGGTTATAAATTTAACATGACCTACCTGTTCATTGATGAACACAAACGATATGAGTGTATGTAACCCACGATCTCTCCTGTCGAGGATTTGGAACTCGACGCGTGTACCTAGAAAGACGAAAATTACATATCATCAACTTATTCAATGCAGATAAATATTCCTTTTTACCAAACAAAACAACAACAGCTATCAAGCTGTGATATCCAATGTACGAAATACGTGTTTTTTCACCAAGCATTTAACATGGAGCAAGAATTCTTTCGGTTGAAATTAATTTTAGAATAAAGTATGCATACATGTAGGTAGCTCGGAAATTAGAAGGAGATATCAGGAAACAAAACTGTTGTTTTAAAGGAACTATTCCACCAACAAGGTTAGACCGAAACACGTGATTCATGCGTGATTGTAGTTGAAAAAGAGAAGGAAATTAATTATCTGCTGCATTAAACGATGTCTCTATGTCAAATGTTTTGTATTCTGCACTTCATATTTAATGATATTGACGAAATGAAATAAAACCGGTGTGTGACATGATGGCATTTCATAATACATCCTGTCCCCATTTCACTATTTTAGTGCAAAACGTCAATAAATACCTAAGTATGCAGGGATTGTTTCCCTGAGATATTTGTAATATCAAGTGTGGTAAGTGACTTTTCATCAACGATATATCCGTATAGGAGCTGCTTTTACATGTAATTGGCGATGTTGTTACACTACCCATTCAATGATAAAACAATATTAAAAATCAAGGAAACACTAAAATACGTCGTTCTTTTTCGTTCTTAATAACTGAAAGCAACTTATAAACTGAACATAACAAAAAACATCGTGTTTTGTCTAGTAAAAACGAAATAGGCGAAAGCTGTGTTATACAAATGACATACCTGTAATATTACGTATTTCCTGATTATCGCACCGGTGCCAACCCTCAAAGTCACCAGGGATGTGTTCATATGTTCCGTTGTATTCAACAGTGATCTGTTCATATGTCATAACATCGAACGTTATGTCATGGGTGAGCGGAACGAGGACAGGAGTCCTACCTCTGTCGATATAGCAACTGCGCCTGGCATTGTCATAATAAATGTTACTGTTGGCAGGAATCGACACGTAGTTCCGTACTGTGCTCTGAACTGTTAAAACATTTGTGCATGGTACGTACGAACTTATTTTGATATTTTACAACAAACTAAATTAAGATTGTTTTGTTTATGTATTTATTTGGATTAATTGTTGTTACTGTTAGGACACTGAACGATAGTGTAGAAACCTTGCCCTTCCCTAATGTCACTGTGAGGTTAAACATCACACTTATGCCACGATCTGTACTAAGGTCGATGCCGGTCAACACATTATGTAAATGAAGTTGAATTTATCATTTTAGGTGAAGTGGTGGGATTTTCCGTTATTTTTTCTCAT